GTTGTCTGTATGAATTAAATCATATTTTGTTGATACAGTAGATTTCTCCTCAGGCATGTTTTTAAAGACATTGGAAAGTGAAGAGTGCATAGCCATAAACTGTAACTATTTTAATGGCCAATGTTGACAAGAAAAAGGGTACAAAATTGTAAAAATCATAAAACATGGTAGAATTGGAAATTTGGAATTGTATTCACCACATCCAGACTATTCTGGTTTTGTATTAAAGGCTAATGATTAGAACGGAAGAACACAAGTCATCTCATCTTGATAGCAATGCAGTGGAAGATGAAGTTATGTAATAGAATATGATATCATATCAAACTATATCAACATGATTAAGTTGCAGAGGAACTTCTTACAAGGCCATGTAGGGATAGGATAAGAGTTAATGGCTTTAAACTGGTGGGGTAGGCTGAGATTAGATATTAGAAACTCTTCACTGTGAGGTTGGTGAGACACTCCCTGTGCCCGGAAGTGTTCAAGGCCAGGTTGGATGGGGCTTTGAGCAACCTGATGTAGTGGAAAATGTCCCCGGTCATGGCAGGAGGGTTGGGATTAATCCTTAAAGTCCCTTCTAACCCAAGCTATTCTATAATTTTATGGTAAGTGTTCATTTGGTAAGATACATGATATCTTATCATGAACATATGATAGAGCAAACCAAATGAATGCAGTTTGACTGCTTTATTTATGTAAATAGTATAAGAGATGGCGTTCACATTTGAAGGCACAGAATCCACATCCAGGAACTTGAAACATAAAAAAAAAGAGAGGAAGGAAACAAAGCCTCTGCTAATGGTAGTTCACAGTACTTCACTGAGAACAGGCTTTGAGGTAACTCCCCTCAGTCTCAACCCTAGTGATAAATACTTCTAGCACTGACCTGCTGGGGAAATGCAGCAGAACCCAGAATAAGCTGTGGGGCTGTACTGCACTTCAACTGGTGTGTTACAGACAGAACTTGCCAGTCTGCAGCAGGAAATAATGCAGTCCTCCCAAGGCACTCCCAAGGATCAAACAGTATCCCACAAACTGAGTCCAGATTTTAAAGATCTGAATGGGAAAACAATTATGGCTAAACAAATCCTGAATTTCTCAAGTCAGTTCAAAACATTTGCACTTTGAAACAACAAAAAACCAAAAGAACTTGTTTTGGAGATAAAAACTGTCATAGAAAAGATTGTGAGTGGAACAAGTATCACTGCAAGCCAGTAATTACTAAGACTTGCGACCTCTAGGGGATTAATGATTGCTAGAGGATTCAAAGCCAAAAGATAGAGACAAAATCAGTCATTACAGACACAGGAAAACACTGGACAAGGGAATAATTTCTGACAATATTTGTTTCTGACCTGGTGGAACAACACTCTAACCAGTTTCATATTTCTCAAATTAATTTCCTAAAGATTTTTTTGGTAGGGGGCCACAGGGGAGATATCTACAAGTGCAGCTGTGCCAGAAAGCAGTCACAACAGCAGATTGCTTCATGTCTTCTTATTTTGCAATGAAAAATCGAAGGAGTGTTATTTTAGCATAAAGAGAGACAAATTCCTCCTGCTGGAGGCAGAAAGGATCCATTTATTATTCCAAAATTTTGCAGTAAGGGTATCTCAGAGAGCAAATGGGAATCAGAGGTCCTTAGACTCTGCTGCCCACATGTTGCCTTTAAGTCCCTGGACACAGGGAGACAAAGAGCTCCTTGGCATTGGCCCAGGAAGTGTTTCATGTTATTCCAAGGATGACTTGGCTCAGAGAAGTTTCATTTTTTGTGAGTTGCAGTGGATTTTTTCTTTTTTATTTTTTTTTTTTTTTTAATATATTTCATTTATTTTCATGTCTTTGATGCTTTCCAGAGCAGCTCTTTTCTCATTGTCAGCTTCAGTTAAGGATATCCTGGGAGTATCTGACATCTCCCTGCGGGCCTGGAGAGACCTTTCCTAGTGTTGATCCTGGCTCTCACTTGCAGCAATTTTATTCCACTTTCCATATTTAAAATTGGAAATTGCACTGGAAATGAATGGCTGACAATTTGTGGATAAAAATTAGCATTCATTACATTCCTGGATGTCTGAAAAGTTATCTGGGTATTGTTCCTACAAGCATCTACATGTTCACACCAGCAATGTCATGGCAGAGCAGGGTGATCCCATACTCCCTGCATTTTAGGTATCCAAAGGGGCAGCATTAAACTAGTTGTGGTAATTCTGGTGCAAGCTGGGAACTAAATCCTACCTTGAAGTGAAATTGATTGTATAAAAAAATCAACACCAAACAAATTATAACAGGTGTTAGCATTGCCCGGGTGACTGCAAAGACTGTTTAAATCGCATTTCTAGAAGTTAAACTAAAGCAATCTAAGCAATCCAAGCTTGGCCAACACTTGCCTGCGGTCATGCTTGTAGCTTGTGTTGGAGAAGTTTGGGGGGAGCTTTCTTTAACTTTTCGGATGGGTAGCTACCATCTTATGCGGGTGGGGAGAGGGTAAACAAAGTATCTATGCCTTGTCCATGATGGCCAGGGTGCTCCTCTCTGGGGAGGTGGACCCTGCTCCCTGCCCCCTTCTGCCTGGAGACAGCCAAACAGGGGGAATGCTAGCAGTGCTTTTGGGAGCTCTGCCCTCCTGCATCGCTCCTGTGTAGAGGAATGAACACTTTGGGCCCTGTTCATCCTTGGACATGCGTGTTGGGTCACTGGCAGCAGGGAGCTTGTAGCACTGCTGGCTGGCTGCAGGAGGGTCAGTAACACAGCACGTTTGGGATGTGGGAGGAGTAAGCCTGCTCATAGCCACCCATAGCAGAAATATATCTAGTGTTGGCTGCAGCTGGGGTGGAATCTCAGTTATTACAACGAGAAGACCAATGCTACAACTTGTGTATAACTACACTACTGCTCTTGGCTGACAGCTTGTAATGGACTTTAGTACTAGTATTGTCTTCAAGGCTTTGGATAAGAAATACATATATATTTGCTGTTTAGGACTAGCTCATCTACATTTGTTTTCTAGTTCTTCCTGAAAGAGGTAATTGTTACCAGTGAAGAAATCTTCAAGTATCTTCAAAACTACACTAAATAGCTTGCTCTGTAGTCTGTAAGTTCAAACAGCATTTTTCCTCTTCAGGTTAAAAATGTAACAGAAAAGCTCATGGCTTAGGAAAATAAAAATGGGAGTGATGTAAAAGCCATATCTGAAATTAAGACAATTTGTTTTCTTATCACATATAGTCTGCTCTGGCTAAAGATGTCTTCTATAAAATCTGTTGTAACTCTTTTTCCTTGCCCTGCCCAATCAGAACAAAAGAAAAGATGAAATGGTTTTAAATGTTAAGACTATGATCTTCAGTGCTGGCCCTGCTGCTAAAAGTTGAATTCTTACTCAATCCATTAAAGGGCATTGGTTTCCCATGTCATATCTAGTTTTGATCACTGCAAAGAAATGGGAAACAATAAAAACAGGCATAATGTGAAACAGATTTTAGCTTTCTGCTTCATTTTTTTTTTTTGCATCAATCTCTCACTTTTGAAAATACATGAGTTAATGTGATGATCTGAAAAAAAAAAATAAACCACCAAAAAAAACCCCCAAAACCCCAAACCATGTTATTTCTCTGTTCCTGTAGGAAACCCTTGCCTTTAAAACAAGATAGAAATAGCAGTGGGCTGATGCAAAGCGGGTGGCTAAAGTTCCCTCTAGTGACTGACAGTATTTAAAAGTGTGCCTTCTGAACAGATCAATTTCTAAACAGACTGGGTGAAATTCCCCAGTAATAATGCATCTTGCTTGAAGCATGTGTTAACTGATTCTAAAACCTAAGTCAATCCATTCAGGTGAAACTTCATCCATCTGAAAAAAGAAGGGAAGGGAAGGGAAGGGAAGGGAAGGGAAGGGAGAAAAGCAAGACTAAGTAGTCAGAGAGTTGTAACTGATGTAAAAAGTTATAATAATCCTAATATGATAATCCTAATATTAATAAATCATATTATAATAATAATACTAATATTAATAAAATAATACTAATATTAAGAAAAGTGATAATACTCCTAATATTATGTCTCCTAATAAACCAAATCAGGAGGCATAAAGCCAAACTGATGTCCCTGATTAAAAAAATCTACTCAAGTGGACTGCATAAGTGGAGAAATAAGGTTAAGAGATGCAGAGACGGGAATTTGTATTCTACACTATTTTCCTTTAGTCCAGTTTCAAACAAGGTCAAGACTACCACTGTGCTCAGTTTCATACTGCATTAGCAACATCTTGCTTGCAGGCTTACCAAGGCCTTACAATAAGTTCCCTCAAGCAGAATCAGGCTCTATTCAATTAATTTGCTTCAATGAAGTGCCACATTGTGATGACAAGCAATAAATGGTAAATTAGATCTTTAGTGCATAAATCATACTTAGAAGTGTCCCTCACAGCAAGGGTTCACAGGCAGCACTGTAATTGTGCTGACTGACAAAGCAATGCTGTCCCAGCCTACCAGCTTGCATGCACGGTTATGGTCAATCCCCTGGAAAACTGGCCCTGTGAGGGGGAGAGGAGTTAGACAACTTTTAAAGTTTGAAGCAGTGATCAAAATTTATGGTTCCACTGTGAATTCATCTGTCTGTGACTGCCTTGAGTTACTCGGCAAAGGTAAATGAGCCCAGAAAAGAGGGGAAACAGCTGAAAGATATATGTGATTTTTGCAAGTTTTGAGATGTCATTTCACAAACTATAGGGTGGAAATTCAAGGAAATCTTTGTTAGTAAGAGGAAGAAAAAAAAACCCAGCCCAAACCTCAAAAACCTAAACAAGACACAGCAGAGGAAAAAAAGGAAGAGGTAGTGGTGAAGGTTGAGGGTTTGCCTCCATCTGCAAACTCCTTCTGAAAGCTGCTGACAGAGCTTTGGCATCTGATCATCTCCTGACTGCTGATTAACATAGCACTGTTTTATATTTAACTCGGGCCAGAACAGGAGGGGCTGGGGGGTGGGGTTGCACTGCTTATAAGGGGAGCACGGCAGAAACAATGTTCTTCTGTGTCAGTTCCCTCGATCTCCGGCCCAGCTGCACTTTGATCATTCACGTTTCCTCCAAATGCATGTTGTCTTTAATTAATTGAGTGTCTCGTGGAAAGCGAGGTGCGGGAGACAGGCAGAGAACGGCTAAAGCTACACAATTAAAATACAAACCAAGACTGCTGAGTTTACTGAATGCAGGTGCTGAAGTGACTAATAAGCTTTTTTGTGGTTAATGTTTTGCTCTGAGAGCAGATCCAGGAGCTGAGATGGAGGGCATGGATTTTGAGGATGAGAAGTCCAAGAGGTACTGCATGAAGAAAAAGCATGTGGCTATCATCTGTGGTGTCGTGGTTGTTGTAGGACTTGCTGTGGGGCTTGGTGTGGGATTGAGCAGACCTAAAGCTCCAGAGGCAACAAAGCAACCAACAACAGATCAGACGACAACAACAGAACAGCCTCCTCCCCCAATGGATTTGGGTCCCTGTCCTTCCAAGAATGATGACACTGGAGAGTGGAGAGATTTTAGGCTGCCCACTTACGTCAAACCTGTCCACTATGATCTGGAAATCAAGCCTGAAATGGAGCAAGACACTTACACTGGGACAGTCAGTATATCTATTGCTTTGGAAAAACCAACCAGCTCCCTGTGGCTTCACCTGCGAGACACCAAGGTTACAGAAATACCCACACTCCGGAAATCTTCAGGACAGCAGATTGCTGTGAATGACTGCTTTGAGTACAAGCCACAGGAATACATTGTGATGAAGGCAGCAGCAGAGCTCCCTGCCACTTTTGAAAGTGATCCCTATGTGCTCACCCTGAAGTTTCAAGGCTGGCTGAATGGTTCACTGGTTGGGTTTTATAGGACCACCTATACTGAGAACGGACAGATCAAGTAAAGCAGTTTTATTTATTAAGCTTTCTTCTCTATTTTTACTTGCTCAGGCCTGCTCTATTCCTGTTTCAGCTTTTCACCAACTTACTGACATTTCTGGGTTGTTCTTTAGTTTTCTCATTCCCCTAAGGAAGATGCTGTATTCAAAGCCCTTTGGCTTCTGACTAGTGAATGTGGGCTGGACAGATGAGGGATTTGTTACTATTATTATTCTGAAAAACCTTTTCAAACTCTACTGGTCTGAGCTTACCTTTGAACTGAATAGCTCCCTCAAGGAGCTGGGGGGATCAAGGCCTGTTTTTACCTCTCTAGTACAATAAATAGCATACAACTATCACCACTCTCTCCTGTTATCCCCAAGGTAACAGTTTTGGTGAAAATGTTCTTCTGATAGTTTTCCTGATAGCATACCTCCTTGATGTTGTAAGCCTGAGGAATATTCAAACCAGAACTTCCCTGTCTCTCTTGCAGCTGGTTTAAATTATATGTAGGAAAGTCTAAACAATTAGGGTCATCTTTTACTTTTTTTTTTTTTTGTGCTCCATCTTTTCCTTATTAATATATCAACCGTTATTGAAAGATTACAAAGCCTCTACCAGTTCAGCTAAACCATTCCACTAGCCAAGTTTGTACTGCTTCAAGTGGAAGCTTGAAAAAGCCAGTGCCCACTGCTCAAAGGCTTCTCTTCACCGTTAATGTATGGAGAGGACACTTACCCATTTTCTGATATTTACATTTCTGAAGTGATTTATTCCAGCCTTTACATCTAGGAGATAAACTTGGCTAGACTTTTACAAGGCCCTGTAGCAGGAACATGGAGACAAACACTGATGTGTTTTCATGGCATTTCTTTGCCCTCCTGGGACAATGGTGTCATGAGTGGGAGTCTCGTCAGCTCCATTCAGCCACTGACAGGAGTAGCAGCGGTGACAGGCACCAGCAGCAGTGGCAGATCCAAGAGGTAGAGGATGAAGCAAGCATTGATTTTTCCTGTGGAGAAGTCATGCAGAGAACAGCTCAAACACCAGGCAGCTCTTTTCCTCTTGTTTTCCTCCATATATGACCTCAGCATTGCTCTGACTTAAAAGGTGCTTTGGTTTTATACTTTGAGCAGCTTTGGTTTCATACTTGGAGCATCAGACATCTCCACAGAAGTTTTAAAGTGCAACCTCCTAGCATCCTTCTAAGTTGAGGTGTGTTACTTTTCATTGGTGAAGGATATCTAGATATTAAATCTATAGCCCCAGGTCTGTCACAACCCCAGAGCAGCAGGACCAGAACACAAGTCTTCTGAGTTGCAGAGCAGGAGAGGTGAGTGCCTGTGCCTCAAATCCAGACAGTATGGGTAGACAAGCATCTGATACCAGGAAGAAAGGAGAACTCTAAAACTAAAGAAAATATAAAATGTGAGCTCACTTTGACTGTTCCTACTTCTTGAATTGCATGCTGGAAACTACAATTGCAAGGATGATCCTAGCCAGTAGTCTGAAAAATCTCAATGCAGAAAGGAGTTTGCAGGTGTGAGTGTGTTAGGCTTGAGAAGGGCTTTAATAATAACAAGTGGATAGTAAATTCTGAAATATTTCTCATGTGATTGAGTTTGGGCAGATTGCTTGTGGGGGTGGCAGAGGTGATGTACATGATAGTGGTAAGTACAGCTTTGAAAGTAAAGCAACCGACAGCCAAGTTGTTGCTATGCAGCAGAGGGTAGGGGATAGGATGGGGTGAGGAAGGACAGTGAGGGAAGGGTTTTATTACTTATTAAAAAGCATTTTCCCCCAGCTTTCTACTTAAAAATAATGCTGACTGGAATTAGCATTTTTATTTTGCCTTTGCCTGAGGTACGCACCACTCTTGGAAAATTTCAACCCAAGTAGTTCTGTTGTTGTCATGTTGCAAGTAAATACAAATCAGATCGGGTAACAGCAATGATCAAACAAGTCTGTTAATAGTGGATGTTAAAGAGAAGGGGGCTGAGGCAAGAAGGAGATCAAATATATAATTAACCAACTCTGTTATCCCTTCTGTGCAGTGTTAGAAGCAGTGGCACCTTTAGAGAGACTTAATAACACTGAAAGTCAGCTCCTAGGGCTGAGCTGCTCCCCAGATGTTTATCTGTGAAGGCAAAGGTTTTTTGCCAAAGCATTGCTATAAGGCCTTTGGTTTACAAACTGGGCACGTGTCCAGGCTCTGCTGTTGCTTAGATTCAAATCTCCCAGCACACTTTGTGGAAAACAGGTAGAGATGTGCTGAACACACCTCTAAGTCTGGGATCCTTGAGAGGCTTAGGGAGAAGAACACCTCATTTGGGGACCCTGTTCAGACAGATCACACAATCCCCATCAGGAAGAAGGTGCTTTTGGGCATGCCCTGAAGCAGACCACAAGATACCTTGGAATCATGATTATTTAAATGGATGTGCACATGGAGGTAGGGAGCAGGAAAGGAGAAACTTTGGAAATGTAGATTTTGGACACATAACCTGCCTAGATGCTTCGGTGGGTTCCCAAATCTATCTATAAGCACTTAAGTCCTTTGGTAAAACTGTTCCTCTGTCTGCACATTTCATTTCCCCATTGATGAAAAAGGAATAGCAGTCCTTCCCTACTTTGCATGGTGCCGCGAGCATAACTACATTATACTTGTATTGTATTCAGATCTTATGGAAAGGAGCAAAAGAAGAGTCCTTGGCTGGTGTACTGGGTTATTCAGGTCATTAGCTTCTCTCAAAAAATGTGCTGAAGCCCCCTTGTATTTTTTCCTTAATATTAAAAAAAATACTAACATGTCACAGCAGCTGGCTTTGATTTTGCACTACTATTAGTGACAAGGTATGGCTTCCCTTTTTTAGGAATTCCCTCTGTTGTCTGTAAGAGAACAAGAGGCTGGCACATGTCTAACAGGGATGTATTTGGGATTTTACTGAATAGACAAGGGAAGAATTTTCTTCTGTGTACAAAAGTAACACTTCACACTTCTGATTTTCTTCCTGAAGGAGAAAGTTTTCTCAGAAGAAGCAGCGAGTTGGAATTTTAAGGAAGACTAGGAGAAAAATGCTTTAATTAGTTCAGGGAGGAAGGAAGTCATTTGACACTTACAACTTGTACTTCAGGGGAGGGGGAAAAAAAAGGAAAACTTATCATGGTTCTAAATGCATTACTGTTTTATTTTGAGAACAGCTGGATGCAGTCTCAGCCAGATCTTCACTTCTTATTACTAAGATGTTTACAACTGTCAACTCTAGTTCATATTTAAAGGTCTGGACATCAAGAGCAGAAGCCACCAAGCAGTGAAGAAAATCTTATCTAAAAACTACATTATGTTCTTTGAAAGTGAATTACAACATTTCATGTTTCTATTGCCACTTCTGTGCATGCCATAGTCTGGAGTTCTCATCATCTAGCCTATAGGAAGGGTAGTGCTGAAGTTTTTCACTCCTAATGTCTGTCTGCCTCTGCAAACATATGAGGATAGATGGATTATCACCTTATAAATCAACAGATGTATCACAATGTTATCAGTCTGTAGGAACAAGACATAAATGTGTCAAAATATATAGCCAAATTTTTAACCAATAGCAGTGAAGCATTGCCCTGGAGGCTTGGAGTTAACTTAATTGTGAAATAGCTCTCAAATCCTATGAAAAGTAGAGAGTGACAGCAAAGAATGCACCAAGCAAAAGAAACTCCATTGAGTCTGAAATGATGTTAAAGTGAATGTTCATTATGCTTTCTGCCCATGAACCTTTGAGCTGCTATTCCAAGGAACATGAATGGAGAGAGCCCAGACATATTACCTCTGTCAGGCTTGTGAATGACCCTTGCAGCTACAAGTTCCTAATGACCAGTTTAGTATTTAACCGTCACAGGGAAATGCCAAGGGCAACAGAAACATTGAAAAATTGGTTGTCAAGTGAGCTTGTAGGATTGCTGCAGATCTGTAATTTATGATGTACACTTTTAATTACTTTTTGGAAAGAAAAACTACCTTAATATAGTTGGAGCAGCTGTAGAAGTGCTGTCAGAAAATGCTCAACATTCCAGATTAATTGAAGGAGCATCTGTGATCCCTTTCACCATCAATCACTGGAGAATATGCTCTGCCACTGGTGTGGGTCATTAATAGGGGAGCCCGATGTCACTGAGAGAAGCAAGCACAATATGAACGCTCACAACCTTCACCTTATGTTTTTACATAACCCCTATTGTCTAGTCCCTCCAGCTGGTTGTGCATAACTGAGATGACTTTCTGACCCCCCCCAAAACAGCTTGCATAGCATCAGTTATGTATGTACTAGGATGTTCACCTGAACTTTCCATGCTTTCTCCAGCAGTTTCACTAATGGAGTCAGGGGAACATAAGAGCAGCAGGAGAAAACTGTATGTGATAAATGCAGAAAAAGAAACACACAATCAGGATGAGATTTATTGGCATTTGTACAGTTTCAAAGTGTCGCTTCAGGAGGTGTTCAAGACCCTAATCCCAAGATATGCTGTAGTGGGTAAACAAGTCTTGGAGTGACTTATTCCTTTTAGGTGATATCATCAGTTCTTTATTTTAGGTGTATAAATCAATGGGAAAGCTCAGCAGGAGGGAGAGCAAAGTTTTCACTGTGCATAAGAGGTCATGCCTCTCATTGCCTGGCTCCTAAAAATATTTGATGATAAGCAATTTGCATTAGCTTTTGCTCTGAAACCTAGAAGATGTTGATGGCAGACTGACTATGCAATGTCAGCTCATGCATTTTTGATGTCACCTGCTTTTATGAATGGATAAATATGCACAAATATTTGTAGTTGAATTTTGTTTGTGAAATCACTTTAAAAATGCCTAGAAATTGCAGACAATATTTCAAAGCCATATAATGAAGCCTTGCCAATGTGTTGTTTGCTTCAGGAGCATTGCAGCTACTGATCATGAGCCAACAGATGCACGGAAATCATTTCCCTGCTTTGACGAGCCAAACAAAAAGGCAACTTACACCATATCCATCATCCATCCAGATGCGTACCAAGCGCTTTCCAACATGCCAGTACAGGTATGTGTTTCCCAACTGCTGCCTAAGTGGAACCGTTCTGTAGAGCCACTGAAAGGTAATGTGGGTCACCAGGTTCTGGCATGTTCACAGATTCCACCACTCAGGCACTGGAAAACTCACGCTTAATAAACATTCCATGAAACAGAACTGGTTGGCTGGGTAGGACTCGAAGTGGTCCACCAGCACACAGCATGGCAGCACAGAGTCAAATCCAAAGCAAAAATGGAACACCTCTTCTTTTGTTAGCCAGCTGACCCTCTGTTCAGATATTTTAGGTGAGCATCCCCTGCTAACTATAAATAGATATTGGCAGGTTCTTCAGTCAAACTGGGTAGGCTCAGAGGATGAGTACTCTGCAAGACAGCTGCTTCCCAGATGGAAAGTCTAAAATAATCACTAAAACTGCATAATGGTCCAGAACAAGGGTCTGCTGATCACAATATAATGGCAAAGAATCCTGCTAGCCAGAAAGACTAGGATTATTCTTTTTAATAATGGAGGATCTGAAACCGCATCTGTCAGCTCATGGGTGTGGATATTTGTCATTCCACCATGTCTATAATTTCCTAAATAATCCATTTCTAGACCTACTGTCAAATTCCAAATTTTGCATGAAATTCAATGGCATCAATTATCTACCTCTGGGCCTTCTGGAAGAAGGCTGAATGGCTTTCAGATGAGAGAGTTTCTACTGAAAGTTCAACAGAATGTATAGTCTATTGCATAATTTCTACTAATAAGTTCTGAAGTGGGAGATAAAGTGCCAAGTGAAAAAAAAAAGAAAAAAAAAAGGAAAAAAAAAAAAAAAAAAAAAAAAAAAAAAAAAAAAGAGCTTCCAGCCTCCAGGCTGTTGGCATTTGCATTTTTCCACCCAGAAAACAAAAGTCTGCTTTTATTTAAAGTCCCCCATACTTATTCTCCTAGCAATGCAGCTGAGATATCTATTACCAGGCTGATACAGATGCATCCATACCTTTTGCACATTTAGGTGTATAAACCATTGTTATTAAAACTATTTCTATGATACCTAGAAGACCACCAGGCACTTTGATGAACAACACATGAAAGGAGATTGCTGTACCTTTCCTCACAGACCTCAGATAAGTGAGAATTCGAGCAAGGAAGTAAGGGGATAATGACTTATGTTATCAAGATTTATTGTGTTTTGAGATTTACTTTGCACCTTGACATGTAGACCTTGCCTCTATTATGGACCTACAATAATAAGCTTGCAAAGGGCTAACTACTGCTTCTTAATTGATTTGCTAAAAAATAAATACCAATAAGAAAATGTAGATTATGCTGAATTCATATTGAGGTTTGACTAAGGGATTACAGCAGAGCACTTTTTCATCTGGTCAAGGTCAGTAGCTCTGGTCTTAGTAGTGGAAGAACTTTGGGAAAAAATCTTTTCCACGGATGGAAATGTAAGAGTTTGTAAAGGCAAGGTACGCTGTTTGTTACGTGTCCTATAGTTTGGGTGCTGTGGAGCTTTATAATCAGCACAGCAAAATCAGATCAACAAAATCAGAATCTTGTACATTTCATTTGCATTTTTCACTAGAGTTTCTTCATTTTTTTTCCACTCAAGTCCTGACTTTGTTGAAATAACAAAAGATCTCAAAATAGAGTCAAAATGGGTAAAATAATGGAAAATTTGATTGTGAATACCTTTTCGAAAAGGGGTTATGAATATGTCTGTGAATAGGTGGTTTTGCTCATGGAATCATATTACCTGTAACATTAACTGTCTGTGCTTTCTTTATATTGTGTTTATAACAAACAAAGCTCATGAACCACTGTATCTCTAGAAGGCTAATATCTTGTTTATGCTTTTGGCTTTTGTTCTATTTAAGTTAGTCATCCAGTCAGAAACACAAAAATTTTCAGACTATAGCAGAAAGGGAATAGAAGAAATATATGTCTAGAATAGAACCATAGAATAAGCTGAGTTGTAAGGGACCCATCAAGATTATTAAGTCCAACTCCTGGCCCTGTGCAGGACATCCCAAGAGTCACACCATGTCCCTGAGAGCATTTTCCAAATGCTTCTGAAACTTGTCAGGTTTGGTGTTGTGACAACTTTCCTGGGGATCCTGTTCCAGTGTTCTCCCTCTGGATGAAAAACCTTTTCCTAAAATCAAACCTAAACCTCTCCTGACTCAGCTTCATGCCATTTGCTTGAGTTTTGTCACTGGTCATGGGAAAGAAGAGTTCAGTATCTACCCCTTCCTATTTAGTATTGTCAGCAAGCTTAGAGGAAAAACCATCTAAGAAAATCAGGAAATTTTTAAAATTTATTTGGAAAATAAAAACTATGATCAGCATGAAATTTAATGTATATTTAGGCAACCCACCTAATAAGCTAACCCACCATTCATTTGTATTTGAATTACTTCAGGATAAATTTATTAGACTGGTCTATGTCCCAGGTAGCATCCCTGCATCATGACTTAAATATGTGATACATGTATTAAGAGAGGGGAGAATTCAGTCTCTTCCCTTCTTTGTCCAAATTAAATTTATTTTATGCAACTATTGCAAGAACAAAACACAGCATACACCAGAAAACTCCTGTTGGCAAAATTTCTGTTCATGTGAATGATTTCAAATCCCTGATGAAAATTAGAGCAGAGTAAACCTCTTTAGTGCCAAAAAAGCAAAGTACCACTTCATGTATTGCAGAAGAAAAATACCTTGTCTGTAGTCATGCCTTCAGCAATGAAATGTCAGAAGAGGTGAACCTGGAGAGGTGATTTGTTGCTCCTATGCAGTTGCAGTCTTCATACAAAAATTGTACTCTTATGCATGTGTTTGCAATTTCAAGAATCAATTTGATTATTTTTGCATTTCTGCAGCAAACAGTACAGCTTGGTGATGGCTGGAATCGAACAACTTTTGAGAAGTCAGTCCCCATGAGCACGTACTTGGTATGCTTTGCAGTGCACCAATTTACCTGGGTAGAGAGAACATCTGCAAGTGGAAAACCTGTAAGTCCTGCAGCCTGAACATGGTTCAGGTGACAGATGTGCCTTGATTTGCATTTTTTGTTTAAAAATCTCTTTTTATACAAGCAGGGCATATTTTTCCTTTTCCTGTAGCTTATTTTATGCAGCCTATTTTATCAGATTAGGTGTTCACAGTGGTCCCTCTGACCTTGACTACATACAGTGCTTTGCAGTCCTTCCCTGTCTCCCATCTTTGTGAGATCCCAGTCAGTACCTCCCATATGAGCAAACACGTGAGGAAGGAACACTCTTTCCAAACTCATCCCTGACTTGAAGCCCAGTGACTGAAGTAGTGTAAAAGTTAGGGGTACAGGAGAGTCACAGGCCATGAACACAAATACTTTATAGTTTTCTGTGAGTTAAAATTGCACTTGATATTATTAGAGCTGTTGAGACATAGGACTACAGTGCTATGTGTCATTATGTACTGGCTTGCTTTATTTTACTACAGTGGCAACAGGCAACTGCCCAATGTAAGTTCTGTAAAAATAATTATAGAAGTGGTAGTGTCTGCCTAAACAGGTGGATATTTGGTAGATCCTCTAATCAAACAAATAGGTTTGAATCTGAATCTATTAAATTAAAATAGCTCCTTCATTTAGATGCAGTAGGCAGGCCAATCCATTTCTTGCTTAGATCCAAATCTCCTGAAGGTGTAGCTGATCAGACATTAAGAGATCACAAGACATAACATTGAATCACAAACTGAAATCCAAAATACAATTTGCTCCTCAACAGAAACTCCTCATTTAGCCTAAACCCAGTTTGGGATACTCAACCTGCTGTTATTAGTTATTGGTTTAGATCTTTCTCTCATCTGATACAGAGAGTGATCCCTAGGGCTGTATGCCCTTGCTTCTTCCCCTTCCTTTCCTGTTACATAACACAGGGTCTTGTCATTCACATGAGCTGGCAGTGGTGTCCTTGATTTCTGGAGGCAATGTCGCAAATGGACTGGGAATCTAGAATGAAACCCAGCCATTCTACTGTTCCCTTAGCAAGTTAGCTCTTCCTTAGTTGCTTTAACCAAAAATGCTCATCAAATCCTTCCCTACTGCAAGCTGTTTGCTGATGTTAAAATCTGTCTCGTAGAAATCTCCAAAGTTCTAATTCAGCTCTTAGCAAAGACTTCCTGTCACAGGACTGTACTGAGGCCTCCCTCTGTGCCCTTGCTAGCATCATGCTGTATGCTTGTATTACTTGACAAATAACTAAAGCTAAATTACACTTAGACAAGCAAATGGAGCCTGGTTTGAGATACAGATGTAATCTTTTTAGTTCTCTGCTGTTTGGCTAAGTAATTCACAGGAGGACATTTTTAGGCCACCCAGTCACACAATTTTGTTAACCAACTGCTCTTCAGCATAGCTAGTCCACTCATTATCAAGGACAGGACCTTGACTACTTGGTCTCACGAGATATACTCTATAGTTCAGTTCCTTTAAAAATCAAATTTTTTCTAGATTTTTGTGCAGAACATAGTACAGAAGAGAAAAAATGTACAGAATAAGTGTGTAACAGTGTTTTCTACATGCAGAAGTTAAACATTTACTACTTGTCCATGCGATGCTCCAGAGTATGGCCCTGAGGTCACTATTTTTTATTTTTTTTCCCCCAAGCAAAACAGTACAGCCCACAATGTTCCTGACTGGTTGTAGCTTTTCTAAATAGAAGGGAGTGTTCACTGAAACAGGATAATTAAAGTGTGTGTGTGTAGAAGCAGGGGTATTCGTGTCAGTACAGAGGTTGCCTGAAGAAACATCTTCTAATTCAGGCCTATGTTACTACATATTTTATTAATGCTGTTCACTAAACAATGTCTGAGGACTTGCCTACACTAGAAAACTTGGGGTTTAAGTGAGGTTAAAATCATAATTTTCCTTTCTCTTAACATGGACATAGTTTTACCAATATAAAATACATTCGTAAGATCCATCACTAAAAATTCTCTTTTCCCCAGGGAAACAAGACTGTCTTTAGGGTTTTTAATCATATATATAGAAAGTTATTCTTCTAGCCTTTCCAAGGCATCCTGTCCAAGAGCTATGAAGATCAGCTGAATACCAGCTGGTATTTAGATTCACCAACTACTGAAAAGAACATTCCATAGTTTGCTGTGTAAATTTCTAACAATAAATCCCTCATTCAACACAAAGTATCCACTTGATCCATAAATTACTTTCATAAACAACAGCAAGAGCATACAGCTCACATGACATAAATTATTTAAAAACTCTTCCATTCACTCTGAAAGCCCTAACGAAGACATTAATGAAATGAGTGGTGAGAAATGTGCCCACAGCTGGAAACAATGCTCCTGAGCTGACTACCTGTCAGGTACCAAATGTCTGGTTTGGAAAAATCACAGAGGAGATTATACAAATGAAACCCAAAGTCAGTTCTAGTGCAGGCTGAAGGTTTTGGAAACCATTAAAATGGATCAGCTAGGGGAAGACTGCTAAATTGGGTAAAGAGCTCACGGAAGTGGAAATTGCAGATTGTAATTGCAAACTGACCCTGGGGGAAATCCCCTGGCTGGAATGTATTCCTGATTGAATTTCATAAGCTGTTTTTGGTTTTGTTCAGGGTTTGTTTGTTTTGGGGGTTTTTTTGTTTTGTTTTGGTTTTTGTTGCAGCTTTATTTCTGAACATTTTCCCATCCTCCCCTCTCATTGGAGGAAGTGTAATTTATAGTATTGAAATCAATGTGTTTTCAGGCTCCAAAAGCGTTCCTGGAATAGACCAGCTCCTTTGCTCAGCTTGGGCCCTAAACTCCTGGCTGTAAGACAGCACTGAAGGAGTAAACAAGCCACACCAGTGTAACAGATGAATGTGTCCCATTCATAAGAGTCATGGAGCTGGCAAAATGAGATAGATCAGTTTTCCTAAAACCAGAACCTTCACTGTATACTGCCCAGAACAAGTGGATCCCCTTTGACTGTGCTTGCCCAGGTTTCCTCCGTGGGAAAATCAGGCCGTGGGGAAGTAGGGGCTGGTATGTAACCAGGCCCCACTTGAGGCTTGGCCACTGTGAGCTTCTGGACATGGGCTTGCCAATTTTAGATTTCAGACAAACAGTGGAAAGTGTGCACATGTTGGCTTGGTATCTTATCTACAACAATTGAAAAACTTTGTGAATAAATGTGATGGGGAACAGACCAGTCTCAGAGAAAACCTGCAGTGTTATTGATAGGTATGCTAAATGCCTTTTCAGTGTTAGACACCTGTTTCCTTTTTACTGAAAACTTCTAATTGTCTCTCTGTATTTTACAGCTGAGAGTTTATGCCCAGCCACAGCAAATACACACAGCAGAATATGCAGCAGATGTAACAAAAACTGTATTCGACTTCTTTGAACAGTACTTTAATTTGAGCTACTCTCTTCCAAAACTGGGTAACTATTAACATTTCTATTTTTCATTTTGTTAATTCAGTGTCATGATTATGTTGCTCCTACAGATCTCTGTGCTTTGGTGGAAAACAGCATGAAAGCGTTTGGTTGCTAACTGCTGATATTATGTCAGGATGTTTTAAAACTGTACCAATGTAGTTCAAGATGTTTCTAAATGTCATGATGGATGAGTTGGTCTGAGTCACTGTATTATTGCCAGTTCTCACAGTTCAGTTTGCTGAACTGAAGAACTGGTCCTGGAATGTTTATTTTAAAGCATCTTGTGGAAAATCAAGGCAAGCATTGGTGTCATCAGCAAAGAACCATAATGAGTTAAAACAGAGCCAGAAGTTTCAGAAAAATATGTACCACTTCCATGTGAATTTCTGGACAAAAGTCAGCAGTTAGATAAGTGAAGATGTAAACTGCCAGAGAGTATGTCATGTTATTTATTAACCTTAGTGCAAAGTGGGTGTGTATCCACTTCTTAGAAAGATTAATATTGTCCAGCAACTAATTTGTAGTTTCTACTGCTGGGCTAAATAAAGATCTGGGACTAAATAAGAGCAGTCATGCTCTCAAATTTTGCCCATGGTTACAAAACAAGCAAAGAGAAGGTAGTGGGCATCCTTTAGCTTGGAATATTTGGACTCTGCATCTGATTCACTCAATTTAACATGAACAATAATCAAGCTGGGAATGCAATCAGAGTTTTGGAAATTCTCCCTCCAAAGACCTTCAAAAAGGTAATTCAGTTAGTTCGTGAACTTAAAAGGATGGAAAAATACTAGCTGCAAACAAGTCAAGATAATACATCTGGGGGGAAAATCCCCAAATCTTTGAAGACAATTAATAATGCTAAAATAATAAAGTGCAAACCTATTTTTGGCTATTTGTACCTGTACCTATCAGGCTAACCTATGTTACTTTAACAAAAGACTTTTACCTCCTCCTTTCAAAACAGCACCTGAGTTTACCATAAATATGTTTGCATTTCAATGGCAACTGAATTAGGGAAACCAATACAATATGTTGTTCTTTCACACACTGGTCCCCAGTAATAATAGGTACTATATCTCACCAGTGCTTTATATTCAAACTTTCACTGTCATGAAAGCCTGATGACTTTGCCATGGCAGCATCTGGATAAAGGCCTGTCTGTGTGACAGGATGGACTGGTATCTTCAGGTCAGCAGTGTCACAGGATAGATACTTCTGTAGATTCTATACAGTTTTTCCCAGAATGTCTATTTGTTGGATCCCTAACCTTGACTTGCCATGTTGTTCCTTCATTATTATAAGTTATCCAGTTCAAACCTGATGAATCAGATATGTTTCTGCATAATGATTTATTTAAATATTTTATTTCACGTTGATTTATGGCTTCTGTTATTACCTTTCTTCTTGTATCCTCTTTTTGACTGTCAGTGAAGCCCTTGCCAAACTATCAGCTTTATTCTGTAATCAAGTTGTTTAATTTAAAATAAGTAATTCCTATCTTCTGCTGGAGTGGAGTGAGGGGTTTTCATTCTATTCAGTTTTAAATCCTTCTTTACTTTTTCACTAACCCAGATAGAAACCCTGTGGTCATTATTTGCAGAAGAAAATGCCAGTTCAGTTGAGTCAGCAATTCTCATTTAAACCTGTATTGATTGCTGACCATAAATGAGTGACCCCCACAAATTGCCAGGCGTAGAAGCAGATGTTGTTCACTGCATGGGGGATTTACTTCAGTTAACATGTCAATAAATATTTTTAATACAAAAGTGTGACAAACAATGTCATGCCTTATTATTCTACAAATAGTTTCAGGAGCTTTACTGCCTACAGCACATCGCCAGACAATGGTATTAATTTCTGGAGCCAAAATTAAGTAATGTATGATATGCACATTCCCAGGAGATGGCATAGCATCACCTCCCAGGACAGATCCTCAGCAAGTGCAACTGATCTTACCTCTGTTAATCTCAGCCGATCCAGGGCACTTGCTTTTGGCCAGTTCTCTTCTTGAACAGATCATGTTGTACAGATCATAGCTGCAGTCCACAGTAGTAAGCCAGAATCACAAATGGTCAGCAAAACAGGCTGTAAATAGAGAGAGGAAAAGCTAATTGTTTTAAAGGATACAGTGGTAATCGTTGTCTCTTTCTTTTAATGCAGATAAAATAGCAATTCCAGATTTTGGGACAGGTGCTATGGAGAACTGGGGGCTGATCACATACCGAGAAACAAACCTGCTGTATGATCCTGAGGAGTCAGCCACATCCAACAAACAGAGAGTAGCTACTGTGATAGCCCATGAGCTGGTTCATCAGGTATATTTTAGGACATGAGTCACTTTTACAGTGTTTCAAATATATAGTCACAGCATTTTAATCTTGAAAATACTGTCATTAACTTTGTCTCAGGATCTTCTACATGTGCTCAAAATCTGATTGCAAAATAACATGTTAAAACAGATCCCTGTTAGAGCTTTAAAATACCATGACTACTGCCTTGGAATTTTTCTCAGGAAGTTAGATGCTTGGGCCCAGATTGTCAGCCAGTTTATGAAAATCTGTCTAAAATGTCTTAGAGAAACAAATTTACGTGTGCAGATGTCTCTTTTGGGCAGGCAAACAAGAATATTTATACACTGTGGAGGCTGTCTGATATCATATCCTTAAAAGCATAAATCATCAAACCAAAAGGAAGAAACTAAAAATATTTTCAGTGACACATGAATCATTAGCAATCTCCTGAGTAATATGTAATTTTATAATAAAAGTGATGTTTTAACACAAGGCAAGGCTTGTGTTAAAACAAGCCTATATTCCTATTCAAACCCCAGAATTATGATAATTTTCATCTGGCAGCAGAAAGAAAAGTAAGCAAATCAATGTTCTATATGCAGATGTGAGATACTGAAATGTACATGTACTATTTATCTAAACCTATATCTTTATGTTTATAATTGTAGTGGTTTGGAAATATTGTAACCATGGACTGGTGGGATGACTTGTGGCTAAATGAAGGATTTGCCAGTTATTTTGAGTTCCTGGGAGCAAATGCATCAGAACCAGACTGGAATATGGTAATTATTTCTGCCTTGTGGAGGGTTGGCAGGGCCGGGAGGAATATTTTGGAAGGGAGTAAAATTTAGACAAGGATGATGAAGACTTAAAGTATATTTATAGAAAACTAACATAGTGTGGTACAACATAAAAAAGAAGTTGGTCTAAGTTTTTCAGCTGCCTATATTATGGTCTGAAGCTAGTAAAAGTAAACTTTGTGATGTTTGAGTTTGCAGGGAAGAGTCATTCTTCTTTAACAAGTGAGTCAAGTGTTCGGTTATTATGGCAAATAACACCTAGGTGGGTTCTGGACAGAGCCTTAACAGTTTTGCAGGGTCATTAAAGGTCTAACTCTGAAAGATGGAGATTTTCCTGTGTTTATTTAGTTGGGCTGTACTCTCTTCATGGGACTTAGGATTGCCATCTGATATGGTAAGGGCTGGGAACCTGGGCCTGTCTCTACAGCTTACACTATTATCAAGGAAAATAGTGGACTCCCATTCAGCTCCTGCCAGCATTGTAAGTGTCCTTTCAAATGCTCCAACTCAGACAATCTCTGTTCTGTACTGTGCAAAAATAGGTAGTGACAGTGGATAGCTGAAGTGCTAACTGTGCCAGCTCCAGACGCTCTAAGGGTGTTGCAAAGAAGTTAGCCTTAAATAGGCATTATATTCTGTGAATAAAGGGAGTTTTCTTACTCCTTCCTTCCTCCCCTCCCAAACAGATGTGATGGCACAGAGCATACATATTTTCCCCAGCTGTCCAGGTGTAATGAGGTTCTGGGTGCTAAGACATACACAACTTATGCCAGTGGAAAGGAGCAGAACAGGTTTTGCATAGGTTGAACCTGTTGAGATCTACCATCTCCTGACCTAGTGACTTTAGAAGCAGACAATGCCTACTTGCTGCTTTCCCTACCTCTCTCCCTGCAGAGTGGCTAAGAACAAAATAATTCCTTGACTCACTTTTACACTTTAAAGCAGAAGATCTGTGGTCCTAACTATGTAAGAAAAATTCTAATTACTGAGTTTAAAATATAAAAGACCTTTTTTTTACCTAGATACTATGTTAATCTAAGATCTAAGACATTTCAATGTCATCCTAGTGAGTATTAGAAGAGGAAAGCTAAATAGAATTGTAGTCTTTTTTTGGTCAATATTGATTAGGAAATAAGGGGATTTTAACTGCTGGCTACTTAATCCTTTTTTAAAAATTCAAATCAATTTTAAAAAACATTATAAGCCTTGGGATGGGGAACCCTGCCTCCTTCTTCCCTCCCTCCCTTTCTACCCAGCTCCTCTTTTGCAAGAGGAGACCGTAATGATTTGTAAATATTGTCACACTTGTGAAATTGGTAACACAGGCTACTCTTTTTGCCCTGCTGGAGGCAAAGGAGGGTGGGATGGGTGTGTCTGTGTTATGATACCCACAGAACAACAGGATCTGAAAAAGGCAATTTCTCTTAGTCAAGGAGAAATTGTATCCCTCCCCTCTCAGATGTAAAACAAGAGTTTGCAAGTCCGTCTTTAGAAGCATGAAATTTCGTTCTATTTCAAAGTGCCTAGAGAAGTTGAAGTTCAAGCTACTTATTTGAGAAGTAAGCATATACTCCTGCCTTTGTTTCCATTCTAATGTCTTCTTTTTCTCAGCCTGAACAGGTTTTAATTGAGGATGTGCTTCCTGTACTGAAGGATGACTCTTTGCTGTCTTCCCACCCAATTGTATCCAATGTGTCATCTCCAGCTGAAATCACCTCTGTGTTTGATGGGATATCCTACAGTAAGGTAGGATATCCTTCTGTTGTGACTTTGGATGCAAAGGAAGGGGCAGCTTTGGAGAGGAGATAAAAGCCAAGGATGCTTATAATCAGGACTCCCAACTCACTTGAGCTGTGTCTGTGCAGATCTTTGTTCTGGGACGTTCCCAACTGCTGGCAGTGATGATACAGTAAAAAGCAGCTGTGAGAGGAGCAGAGCAGCCAGAGCCTCGTCAGCCACTGTGCACCGTGCAGGCCTGCTCACAGCATGCAGCAATGCAGGCAAAGCACAGTGTCACCGGCCTCTGCCACTAGAGTGCTGGGTTCAAAGTTAAACTAAACCAGGTACTAATCACATCCCTCTCCCATCACCTGGTGCTGATGCAGCCCAGTTATGTCAAGGCTCATAATCTAACACAAGGGCAGAGGAGGCAAGGGCAGATGTCCAGGTATATTTTCTGTCATTTCTCCATCACACCTGCAGGCCAGCATAACTTCTGTTTTGAGGAAGCAAGGCAAGGAACCAAGCAGTGAAAGCAGGAAAGTGACTTTTTATCTCAAGTTGCTCACAGTATCCCAGCCACCTAAAAAACCTTAGCAAAAATGGGCTACACCAGCTTCTACTGGCACTGGCTTAAATTGGGAGATAAGTTAGTTCCACATTTCACTGAAAGTTGTGGAGCTCAGGAGTGCATTGGAGTACAACAGTCCAGTAGCCCAGGAGGTGGTAGCAGACACTCCATTAAGCATTTGATAAGATTTTTGCTCATCCCATCCCAGAGTGTGGCAGTGAGGGCCTGTGCCTATAAAGACTCCCTAAGGAGCTAGCTGGAAAGATACCTTGGGTCTGCCTGAGCAGAGAGACACTGGAATGCTGGAGTCATCCAACCACAGTTGTGACCCGGGCACACAGAGACCTTTGGAAGCCCATGGTCTCTGGTAGTACTTGCCGTGTGGGGCAGCAGCCTGGAGATCAGCGCTTGTGGGAAAGTGCTGTGAGGTCCAGAGGCCCAGCCCTTGTGGGAAAGTGTTGTGAGGGACACCAGCAGCCATGCTGAAGATCATCACTTTGAAGACCCAGCCTAGGGGGCTGAGGCCAGCTTGTCTCCCTCCATATCAGATGTAACCAAAGCCACTTTGTCCGTAGAGAAGCCTTAAACATGCAACAAAGCAGGTGTTGCCCCATATCTAACCAGGGAGTCTCTTGACTCAAGGGCCCCAACACTGTTCCCTGTTGTTTTCTGCAGGGCATCAAGAGACAAGCCCAAAGAAACACAGGAGAAAACACCCCTGTCACTCTTCTCAACCAGCCATCTCCCATGCTGCTTCTGAACCTGATACACCATATTTTTATTGGCAGCTTCTTATATTACTCTGTCAGTGTTCCCTATCTGATTCTGTACCACGTTTCCATTGAACACACAAAATCCAGCATTATTAAATACTGCTTGTTGCTTTCCGTCCAAGCTCCCATTATCAGCTAAACATAAAGTATATATTGCATTGACTTTAGCTTCAGCTGTGCTACAGTCTGTAACTATAGATACCACTTTTATTAGCTAGACTTTATCCATCCATTTCCATCAGTTTTCTGTTTTCAATTGTTAAATCCTCTATCCAACAATACAACCAGTATTTATTGCATCATAAATGCCTCATAGTCAAACCATAAACCATGTAAAAACCTGCATTGTGTAACACTGTTTTTAAATCAAACTAAAAAAAGTCACGAAATATGCAGAGCTAAATCAAATACTCTGGATCAAAATGTATTTTAGTGGTAAGCTAAGCAAGAGACATACTTTTGCAGGGTCTGTAAAAACAATGGACAAAAAAAAGTCCTAGCTTTTACTCATCTCTTTGTGCCTAGATAATTACTACATGAACTCATTTTTTTTTAAGCAAAAACACTTGAGGACTTGTGCATTGTTTGGGAACAGTTTGCTTGGGATATAATTTGGCTTGGGTTATAATTTGGCTTGAAAGAGAAAGTCTTTGTGTAGATTTAGCTCAAATTACTGTTGGTATTTATATATAAATGCGTGACAAAATTAGCTTGTTTCTTTTTGGCTTCTCTTTTGTATTTTTCTTTTAAAAACCATCTTCTCATGATAACATTAATCACTGAACAAATAAAGCATAATTTGGAATGCTCTCTGTTAGTCTTACCAGAACAACCAGAGAGCTTATCCAATCCTAAAACCCTAATGAATTGCCTAAGGGTCTATGGAGTCATTGCAGCATATTCTGTACAAGATCCTCTAACTGCTCTAGGATTGATAGGGCATTATATGCCTAGGAAAACTCTACTAGAGTAGAGCTGGTGAGTAAACAACTAATGTACATAATTGTTTTAATCTGCTTTTAAAAAGTATTTACATCTCATCTATTTCCCAGTTTAATCCTCTCTCTTACTTTGAAAGGTTTTATTAAAGTAATAATGATGGGTTTTGTCTTAAATAAGTTCTGTTAGAAATTTGCTCTTGGACCCCCACACTTTTGGAACTTTCCAGCTACAGAAGTTTAGGACTAATCTTCCACATTTCTGCCACAAACAAATCTTGTCATGTACTTGGCAATTACTATGAAATTATGTGGGTGTTGATAAAAGACTCCCCCCATACCGCCATCAGAGAATGTCAGCTAGTCAAATTAAGGTCACTTTCCTGAGCCTCCCCAAATAGTTGTAAGAAAGGGAAGTTATTAAAATACTGGTAGTGATTTTTGTTAGGATGAATTTTTCTCAAACACACTCCATCATGAACTACAGAGGAATTACAAGGGGGGGGGAAGAGACTGAAAAATAATAGTAGAAGGTGCAAATGCATTAAAATTTAAAGCAAAAGAAGTCTCTACTGTTACCAAATGCATGTATAAGTGTGTATTTGTACTTTGGCTTTTAATATAAAAGGGAGGGGATGGTTTCTGAGAGGTGATATCAGATAAGTGGCTGAGAGACAAAGCTGAGGAACTGAGGTTCCCTAGTGCAGACTCATGGCCTTATGATCACCATTGATCATTAAGCAGCTTTAGGATTACCACTAATGGATATCTGTTCTAAATGTTACTGAATTGGTTTTGAACATATTCTATGGCAAACACATCAGATTTCTGTATCAGAAAACAGTCATCTGCTTGATGACTTGACCTTGACTCCAACAATAGCCTGAAAAGCAGTTTGAGGCATATCTGTTCAAACAGTCCCTCTGCCATGACTCATCTAGTCATTATTCTCAGATACATAAATAGATGAAACAGGATTTACTGAGAATTCAGATAATATTCTTGTTTTCATGGGACAACTGGATTTTTAAACAATTCATAGCATTAGGCTCTCGGCTGCCCCTTGATTTAGCTCAGAAAATGAAAACATGCTAATCCTAAAATTGTACTTTGCATCTTAGATGGAGTTTGCACTCCTTTTTTTTTCTTCATCATTTTCTGTACACTCTGTTCTTTGTTCCACATGGCTCTTCTACTTCTCTCTCCTGTCTTCCTTTTGTTTCTTTATTCTTTCAAGGTCCTAATTATTTGGTTTTTTTTGGTGACGTCCAAGTTAGTAACTCCTCTGATCCCAATTCTACCCTGCTTCAGAGGCCAGAGCTCTTACACTAGTCTTCAGCAAATCTCATTCCTTATCTTCAGATGGCATACCCACCCTGTAAAGTCCCAGACTTGCAGCATTTTTAGAGTTCCCTTCCTGTTGTGTGTTCATCTGAAGTCACTGCCTCTCTCAGGCTTTTCCCCTGACGGGGGTAATCCCCAGATGCCCTCACCCCTGTCCTGCTCAACACAAAACAGGGAGCCCTGCTCACACAAACTGGTGGAGTGGCAGGACAGTAAGCTGCAGCAACAGGGCTCAGGAGCTGAACATAGGAACAAGTGTCTGATCACAACTAAAGACTGATTCTCACATCCAGATTTAAGCTCCACCAGGTAGGCATGCTATCCCACAAAGAAAGTAGAAAAACCACTTCCTTAGACTGATGGGTGATTTCTATTTTTGCCTTATAAAAATACTCATTCCCATGTTGCCTTTTAGATGAATGAAAATCATGTCAGAGCAGTGTGGATTGACCTTCTCCCCTTTCCCTTTGTCCTCAGGGTGCATCGATCCTCAGAATGATTCAAGACTGGATTACACCAGAGCTCTTCCAGAAAGGCTGTCAGGTAAAGGTGGCACCAAACCTACCAGACATACAGCCTATCTTCATGTGACAGTAGCAAAGCCATTATTCAAAAAGTGAATATTAGAGATCCTGGTATTGGTAGCAAAAGTACTTAGTGGATTTCAATACTGAGTGGACAACATGGAGGGGAAGAAGTTCCATGCTCCCACAGAAGCAGGAACGTGAACTGCATAAAGATTTGATAGCCAGACAGTGATGACCTAAATTCCTGACAGCTTTTAGTGGAAAAACCTCCTCTATCTCACTGTTATCCTGTTGTCAACTGGGATCCCCTCATTCTTCTATAAAGTGTGTCTGTGGCTTCCTATGGCCAGGATCCTCCAACCCACACAAGGCTGATATGTAGGGATACTCTTAGAGGCATAAGCTCATCCGTGCCCTGATGCAGGGACACCCAGCCCTAGAAAGTCAAGGTAATAGGGAGAAGAAACTAGATACGTTGCACAGTTCACAGTCCTTTCTTGTGTCTTGGAAAATGTGGTGCTGCAAAATGACAAAATGGGAGAAAGAGCCATCCCAGAAGGAGAAAGCTTGTTTGTCCTTTATTCTGAACAGACATTGGTAACAAGCATTACAGTGCACACTTACCACATTTGTTCTTACTTCCCTCTCTCATGAAGTGCACATTTATGGGCTGCTACAAGATTGCTGTATTTTCCTGTACTTCCCCTTTCACTTATTCAATCAGAACAGTTACCCAAGATGGGAAAATACAGCCACCTTGTCTCCAAGAGCCTAACCCTTCCCTTCTGCTCAGAGCCTTCCGGAGCACCAAGGTAGGCAGCTGTGGCCAACAGCGATACAAACAGCACCATCTACTGACTGAACACCACCAGGAGCAGGCGACAGGGTAGGAAAACACCCACCAAGCAGCCGGGAAGACACAGGATGGGAATAAGGTTTAGGCATTGCAAACTGCTGAACACCATTACTCCTTGTAACAATCGTTTTGATCAAAACTTAGACGTGACTAGACTTTCCTACTTCCACTCTGAGTCCACAGGTAGCGAAATTTCATTAAATACCTTCCTCCTGCTAAACAACCTCTTACATTAGTCAGAAATTTGCAACAGGGTATAGTGGTGTCCATTTAAACAAAACACAAAGATGTCTTCAAATTTATTTCTTACTAACAAGTCACTCTGGAAAACGCTGACTTTTGGTGGTACGGGATGCATTGGACAGCAAAGGAATTTCATCAGCTGAATACTGATCCATTTAATCTCCCACTCACAGTACTACCACCCGTGTGTGCAACTGAGAGGTACTCTGTATCCCTGTACAACTGAATATGTGTATTGTTTTCATAGGCAAACAAGAAACACTGGTAGTATTTTCATGGTCTTCCATCTCTCTCTAGGCATATTTAAAGAAATACCATTTCCAGAATGCCAAGACACAACAATTTTGGGAAGCTTTAGAAGAGGTATGTTTTGCATTCACCCAAATGCTTGCTAATAAATGTTTCATATCTCACCCACTGATTTCAGTTTCTCAAACTTTTAATATTCTGTAACTCTTCTGTCAATGAGAGATCACAAGCTAGGCAGCCTACCAGTATATATATATATTTTATTTTTTTTTGCATAAGGCTGTGGGAGTGGAATAAAAGCCAAGAAAGGAGGCCTTGCTAACAAACACCCTGTCACTGAAACATTCCCCCTGCAACTCAAACTCATTTCACGTGTGTAATCACCTCTCATCCACCATCGTGCACCCCATACTGTCTCTTTTCTCCCTCCAGATTCAGGTGTTAGAAAGCTCTCAGTAGTATCAGTTCCCAAGTAATTTTCGTGCTTATATCCCTCTCTAGCTTCTGAGTCCCAGTTGGGTCATCATCTGTGCCACCATTTACTGATGTTTCCTGTTCCTTGAGGCTGGACTACTTTTTTCCATCTATCTCATTACCCCCCATTATGCTGGCATACTGCCAGATTCTTCCCTGGTATTATTTCCTTTTCTTCCAACCCTGTGGGCACGCACACAGATGAAATTGTGCTTTTGCTGTTTAGTTCCAGTCTTCTCCTTGGTCCCAGACTTCTTCCTACTCAGAACTTCCTGCTTTCTCTCTCTAGTGCTTTGCATCTTCACATCATCTACCTCATCTGGAGAAGGAAACACTAGAAGTGACCTTAACTCATTTCTCTCAGAGGTGGCATCCTCGGGAGGTAGTGATAGCTTTCTCCAGCTCCAGTTCCTAGGACAGATGTTCAGGGTTCACAGAATGAATCAAATTTTACATTGGTGCAGCTGCTGGTGGTTAATACTGGCTCTTCCTTCACACTCAAAAAAGGACACACTGCAAGAAGGCGTCTGGCTTGGTGTTCAAGTTTCCAAATTATTTCTTTCTTCAATGACAGAAACCATAAAAGGATTTAATGGAGATTTTTTTTTGTCCTGAACATGCTCTTTCCTCTGCCCCTTTCAGCTCTCCTTTTTCTTAATACCAGAGACTTTCTTTCCTTCTAGGACTGATTTTCCGTTTTCACTGCAACCTTCTTTCATCATTCATAGGCAAGTAATAAACCTGTGAAGGAAGTCATGGACACATGGACTAGGCAGATGGGCTACCCTGTTTTGGAGATGGGAGATAATTCAATATTCACACAGAAACGTTTTCTTTTGGATCCCAGTGCAAATGCTTCTCATCCTCCTTCTGATCTTGGGTAAGTTCCTACTGCAAATGTTGATTCAAACCAGGTAGAAACTAACTAAAATGTACCTCATTAAATGCATTTACCAAAACTAGTTAAATAAACCAAACCAAAATAAAAACACCCAAATGAACAAAACAAAAAACAACAACAAAAACAAACAAACAAACAAAAAAAGCCAAAACCATCCACAAATAAACAAACAAAACCTCAAAAACCTATATGGGTTTTCTCTTGGGAAACACAATACCTCTCTAAATTCCATTGTAGTAAGCTCCATGAAAGAGCTAGTAAAACTAGAAGTGTATAAATCTGGTAAGATATTTTGTTTAGGAGATAACAAAACAATAATTCTCTCTTCCTGGAGGTAGGAGGAGATATTATAACCTTTTTTTTTTTTTTTCTGGAAGGTAGTGACCATTTACTTAACCCACGGTCATAAAGATAATATATATTTCCCATAGCATTTGTCACCAAGGGGAAATCTCCCTGGGATGAAGTACAACATACTATGTAAGAGCAGCTGACTGTTCAAAAGGGCTTAATAATTTTAGCAGCCCTATGCAGGTGGCTGATGTTATGCTCACAGCGTGCTCTGCTGTCCCACATCCCTGATTGCCTGGTCACAGTCTTGTGCTGTGGCTCCATTCCTGCCCAAATTTCTCATCTCTGTCCTGGGCTTGCCCTGGAGTGAGGAATCTGCACCTACCCAATAAAGGTATACAAGGAGCTGAGGAGCAAGAGGTAAGGTCTCATTTGCCTCCCAGTGCTTTTTAATGAAGGAATTAGGGTTGTCTTGGAGAAGAAAAATAGGCTGGAAAAGGCAAGAAGCCCTATTAACTGTATCACAGTGGTTGCTTAAACTCCTTCATTTTTTCCATCTGTAAAAAAACTTTTGTAATACTTAACCATTTATTTCAAGTCAGCATTGCAAAGATTAACTAGTGTCTGCACAAAGCCCTAGACACATCAACATTAACCTTTACATCAATTATTGACATATAATCATCTTTTACTAAATCTGTTGCGTTGTGTCCTGCTAGAATATTGCCTGACATTATTTAGTAAATGTATATGTTCATAAGCACAAGTCAACTTCAAAAAACAAGATGTAAGCATTAAAATAAACAAACAAATAAAGACATATTGAAGGGGTTTTTTTATCATTTGGCTTCAAATGTAATTTGATTTTCTTTCCCATTAAATAATTTCAGTTACAAATGGAATATACCAGTCAAATTTGAGGGTGGTGATTCATCAGAATATATTTTCTACAATGCATCAGATTCTACAGGTAAATGTCTTCTCTTTTAAGGATAATGAATGGATGAAACTTTTCCATATAATGTACAAAAAACAGAGCACAGAATGAACTTTCATACTTTCCAGTTTCAGGTCTGGGAGCTAGCACACAGCTTGGTTGTACTGCAGTTACTAGTAATTTCAGTGATAAGATTACTATTTCCCCTGTACAAACATGATGTCAATTTAGGCTCAGTTTCAGTATAGTGCTTAAGCACTGTTTAAATACAGTTCTATTCAAGGAAACATCCATGCATACTCTTAATTATAATGCACTAAAATCAATTTGGCTTAGATGTGGCCATTGTCCAGTCCAAGAAAAGAGGAGAAGTGGGAGGCTGATGAATGCTTGTGTGGCATGGTAAACTGGCAACTTGAGTTCAATTAAAGAAAAAGAACTACAAATGATTAATCACCTTTTCTTATGCTGATTTCAGAACTGAGAAAATTCCTACATGGCTCTTTTTGATCATTGCTCTTTATGCAGTCAAATCTGAATTTCTTCTACTACACCTCCAGTGGACAAAATTGTGGGGGAAAATTACTGACTTTTTTCAGATTTTAAATTACATCCCATTGAATTTCAGAAATATTACAACTGGCTCATCTTTTCTTGTACTTGTTTGTAACTTTTTTAAAATGCAATTTGTCTTTTGTTCTGGGGTGTTTTTTGTTTTTTTTTTTTAACCTGGTTGCTTAAGTATCCACGCAAAAGCAAACAAAAAATTATCTTGTGTCATGCTACAAGTCAGAAGTTAGCACAAAGAAATTTTCTTTCTCTGATTTCCACATAATCTGAGGGCTGCAAGGGGCTATTAACTTCACAAATCACGCAAAGTCTTGATTAGGTGCTTACTTCTACCTTCACAAAATTTCTGTATTGCAGGGCAAACAGCAACTGTAGGGGAAAATCCCTTTAGAAATATTTTGTATGTAACATCCAAACAGAAACGTGCTTTTAACTACAGCCACCCTCAAAACAGAGATTCAAGACCATTGTTTTCAATTGGAAATAGAAAAATTTTCATGAGTAACACCACCAACTGGACCAGACCAAGCTTCTGAGAAAGAAACATTTTCAAGTATTCATTTTAAATGGGAAAATCCTTAAACATGAGTGCTTGCATGAAGTCTCAGCCTATTTTGTAAATCTTTTATCAACAGCTACAAAAATAGAATCAAAGAAGGGTACAGGAAAGAAAAGTTAAAGTTACTTGAAACAAACTGAAAAATGAAACTAATGGAGGATAAAATATGAGAACTTTAGTAGTGCACATGAGGATGAAAAATATTTAAAAATATATATTTGAAAGAACTGCTTCCTGGCAATTTTTTACTTCTTAAGGCACTAAATCTCACTATCCTCACCCTACTCACAATGACATCCATTTCAAATTTAAGAAACTTGCTACCCCAAGTAATTACTGCAATTCATTTTTTTAAGATTCATCATCTTAAAAAAATGAATTGCAGTCTACCCCAAGTAATTACTGCAATTCATTTTTTTAAGATGAGTGCTGGCATTCATCAAAATCTGTAATTACTCATCTTTACTCAGAGCCATTTAGAAATAAATAAAGAATAAATAAAGAAATAAATTAAATTAAGGGTTGGACCTTATTTTGGACCTATTAAAACCAAATAATACTTTTGGAGTCAAGGAATCTCCAGTGAGATCTGCATCATATAAGGTGCACAAACTGATGACTGTTTGTTTTGTAGGAATTAGAATACCAGCTTCTTCTGATACTTTTGTGAACGTTAATCCAGACCACATTGGATTCTTTCGGGTGAATTATAATAGCCAAAACTGGTCCAGCTTAAGCAATCTTCTGCTCCAAAACCACACAGTGAGTGTTGTAATGTCTAACCTGTCTGGTGGGTCTCATATAAGAGGTCTGTAGAGGCTGGGGTTTTTCTGCAAATATTCTGTATATTCTTGATCCCTCTTTTCCTCTTTTCATACAGAGGTTTTCATCTGCTGGTCGCGCAGGGATTTTGGATGACGCCTTTTCTTTAGCAAGGTAAACTAATTCTCTACAGAGATTTCAACACAAGTTTTTCACTTTCTGTTGCCTAATAATTAGAATTCACGTAACCCAGGTGGCTGAAAGAAATTTTCTGACTTTGGTATGAGCTTTAATTCTTTGTTGCTTTATCTTGTCCTCCAAAAGGGGTGCATTTAAGTATGAATTGTCGACTTGCATTACCATTGCAATCACGAGAAGTGCTCCCTTTCGGTACTGGCAAGAAAAAAAAGCAGGCTTTAATTGCACAGGTCTTAGAAAGGGGTGTATTCTCCATATAATTAACAATAATGGAAGCACTCCAGAAGATGTTAGGTATCCAGAAAAGCAGAGGCATGCCTACAGTGCATACCAAGGCATTTATTAGCTACCACCTCAGCTAGTAGTTTGTTTAGAAACTTGATTGGAAACTTCTAGATCTTGTGCCCAGCCATGCTGACACAGATAAATTTTAGACAATCTGTAACAGCCTCTAATTCCAAGTCTCCTCAGCCTTTCAGGATGTTGTCAACCAGCAATTCCTTTCTTTTTTTTTTTTTTTTTTTATATTAATGTCAGGTAGTTAAGGGCTGCCCACTTCTAGGCACACTGGGCTGCTGCACAATGCTAGCAGTCTTCTCACAACAGCGCAACTCCTACGGTTAGGCATCGATCCATAGTGATCCTTGGTTATCTCTTTGGAAAACACCTTCCAAGTTACATTCCAGACTACTTTCTCCCTCACAAACTTTACTATTTCAGGCCTTCTAAAGTAAATAGTAAATCTAATATCTTTGGAGAAGCAAGTTCTTCAAATTAATTAAAATAACAGAAGTTATGTTTTCTCCTTCCACAGACCTGGACGTGTGAATTACACTGTTCCCCTGGAACTCACAAAATACCTGGAAAAGGAAACAGACTATTTACCTTGGAATAGAGCTATATCAGCTGTAACTTACCTTGCAAACATGTTTGAAGATGATGAAAATCTCTACCCCCTGTTTCAGGTGATGAAGCAAAATAAAAGCCAGTCTGGCTTGGGACCACTGAATCTGATAATTCAGAATTTCTCACAAGAGTAATGTATGTGTTCATAATGCTGAAGTTTGTAATATGTTCGTAACTGAAGTTCAAGTGATTTTCAGTGTTGCTGGACTATTAACATTTACTTTTCATTACTATTCTCTTAAAAAAAAAAAAAAACAAACAAAAAAACCTCTAAACACTGCTTTGTAGTGGTATCTGTCTGAATTACCTGGATTCAGCATTCAGGACCATGCACTTGGAGAAAAGACATTATGCCTAATTATTCGTATAATCTGTCACCATAAGGCATGTTACAGGTATTTATTAGTCAAGGCTGTCCTGCATTCAATAAAGAAGCATGTATAGGGCAGCAAAATCTCAAACACCTGTCCTCAGTACAAAGGATGGCTATATCTCCATGTGGCAGTGAGTAGGTTTGTTAGTTGACCTAAAATACTGAACATGGTTTAATGGTCACTAAAGTAGGTATGTCTTGAACTATCATCTCTGGAAAGCAGTTGTGGCAGTGTGTCCTTGCTATAACCCCAGCCTTCATCTGGGAACACAGACAAGGTTGGAGAGAAGCAGGTTGGCTTTGTCCTATCTGCACATCAGTATTGCAAGCATTCAGACTTGGCATGCTATGGGGGTCTGGAAAGATTGTGTGTGTGCCTGTTCATGTAACTTTTCATTCAAGAGATGGTAGTTCTGAGAAAAAATGAAGAAGAACAAACTATGAAATTAAATGTATTATTATTTAAAGAAATTACACATGTAAGCAACACCCTTTTTCTACTTCAGGAATATTTTCGCAAACTGGTAAAACCAACTGTGGATAAACTGGGCTGGGAGGATTCTGGAGACCATTTGCAGAGGTGAGACAACCTTTATTTTTTCCTTCTCATGTTATTGATGCATTCAAACAATAGTTAGCAGTAGGAAAAAATCCCTCTCACTCTCTCTCTCTCTCCCTTTCCAAGGCTTCTTCGTGCATCTGTTCTAGACTTTGCCTGCAGTATGAATGACCCAGAATCTTTAAGCAGTGCTTCTCAGCTCTTCGATAGATGGTTACGAGGACAAACGTGAGTGCTCATGTCTTTTGTGGTTTGTGAAGAACACAGCATGTGTCTGGGTACCACTGATCTCAAGTAGGAAAGGGGGAAGAATATTTAAGTACTGTTTCTTCATTTTAGTATTCCTGCAAATCTCCGACTCATAGTATATCGCTATGGGATGCAGAACTCGGGGAATGAGACATCATGGAATTACATGTTCGACAAATACCAAGAAACTTCATTAGCCCAAGAAAAAGAAAAGCTGCTATATGGCCTGGCATCAGTGAGGAACATCACCCTTTTGGACAGGTGATTTAAACACACACAGATTTCTGTTTTCCTACAGAAGCAACTGGTCGATGTTTGCTCATTCCCCTCTTACTCTCATCTGTGCTGTCATTTTGGTCAGATTACAGCATGAGGAATGCAATACATTTTCAAGACCAGTTATCTAACATGCCCCTCTGAGATTGTACTATGGCAGGAAAAAAAGCCTTCTTCTTTTAGTGGAAAGATATTGAAGACATTGTAGTTGCTGCACACAATCAACAACTTTCAGCTCTTCCAACAGTGTGTTCACCCTGTGCAATTTTAGTTGCTTAATAGTTAATTATCAGGAGTAAATTAGTCATCCATTTCCTCTTTAATCAGTGAAGAGAGGCTAGACCTACAAAGCACTGCTTATCCCAGACCAGGAAAGGGGCTTAAAATCAATGGAAAGAATTGCTTTTGGGTGTTGTCAGTCACCCTCCATTAGCTCCAGCTTGCTTAACCTGGATGTCTACTTTCTAACTAGCTAAAATTAGGCAAATGGCCTTGAGCAATTGTTATTAACAGTCCTATGAAGGCATCCACGTGAACTTGCAATGCTCCTTGAGGTGCTGTGCAGAAGTGCTCAAGCTAGAACCAAAAATGTTGAATTCATGCTGCCATGGCAATGATGAGGAGTCTGGATACTGCCCCAGAGTGGTCCAGCAGACTGTCCAACTTGGCAGGTATCTCACCAGGCTGTCACCCTGCATAGGCACACTGGCTTAGTCTGATAACTTAGGCTTATCTGATAACTTTGCATGTTGTTGTATCATGTAGCACTCCTGCAAGCAAACATCTACACCAGGGCCATTCACCACTGTATTGGATGGAGCCCTACCTAAATATCATAACATGGAGCAGCCTCAGCTTGAAAGAGTTCCAAGTTTAAAGGAGGTGAAACAAGGAAGTATAGGAGATTCAAAAATATTCAGAAAGAGTAAATGTAAGATTTAGAGTAATTGAAATAACAATAGGAAGCAGCTGCATTCCTAAATTCTTGTGACTGCAACAGCCATAATCTAAAGCCATTAAACAGCTAATGGCTGACATGATTAAGACATGAATTAATTAGCTAGATCAGACTATATTTGCAGAAAATAAAAAATCCCTCCTAAAGCAAGAAAAGCTTGTCTCTCAATTTACTATTAAAATAACAAACAAGGAGGGAAGAGCAAACAGATTGAAGAAAATTGTCCATTACATATAGGGAAAAAGAAGAAAATCCTTAATCTCAACACACAACAGTTTGAAAGGGTGTTCTTCTGCAGCTGCTGCTGTGAATCCATGACCATGCTACTCATCTCCCTGCAAACATGTATGCTTCACCCCACCAGTGAAAACCATCTGTGCCATAACTGGAAGTATAGCTGCAGCACTTGCAGGCATGCTCTGCCCAAATGAATTTTATTTTTGTATGGGTAAAAGTTTCCAAACAAACAGCACAGATGTCAATGTAAGCAAGTCACCTGTGCGTGTATTCATGGTCCCTGTAAGATCTTTAAAGTCTGGACTACTATGGTTTTGGTGCTTGGCTTAACAGGCTGAACTACTAACTGATCTAGTCTTGTTTTCTCTATTGCATTAAAATATAGGAATAATAATGGGGTTTGGCTATTTTCAAGTAAAGACATAAACTCTATCTACTTTGCTAAAGAGATTCCTAACTAAGATTTCTTTCAATACAATTATCTTTTGACACAAGTTACATTTTAGTTCTGTATTCTTTACCTTTAAAATGCTGTAGGAAAAAAATAATATTCGTGTTCGGAAATGGTTCTCATCGATTCCTATGGCATTTCCCTTAGATATCTGAAATATATTTACAATACCAACCTCATCAAAAGCCAAGATGTGTTCACGGTCCTGAGATACATCTCATATAACACCTATGGGAAAACAATGGCCTGGGACTGGATACGACTGAACTGGCAGTACTTAGTTGACAGGTACTCTAATGAACTCATGGGAATCTACATCCACCTGTAAATCTTGTTACATGCCACGTTTTTCTGTGTTTTCATTGTACACTTATAACCACTGACCTTTGCAAAATGAAAACTGAAAGCTTATTCAACACAATTATATTCATTTGCTGTGGAAAAACTACTTTGTTGCTAACTTGAAAACCATTATTTCCTTAAATGATCACTACCAGTAAATGGTGATCGAGGAGAGAAAGTTTTACCAAGGCCACAGAAATCTGGTTATTGCATGGAAATTACTGAATCAAGTCACCACTCTTGTGACTGATTTCATACCAAGAAGATGGTATAAAATGGAGGTTTTTAAAACCTTTATTCTAATGGTAACAGCAAGTGGCAGACAGACAGATGAGCAGTGGAAGTAATCACAAACCTTTTAGCTTTTCTCTTCAATATTTGAGTGACTTATTTCTCCTTCCATCTCCTTGTTAAGTGCTTGGTGTGGGCACAGAAAGAAAGCACACTTGCAAGCCTAGAGCTGTGATCTGGACAGTTTTTGTATTGCAGAGCACAATGTTCCTAACTTCCAGCCTGAGACAAGCAGTAATTACTTTAAAAAAAATTATTCCACCATAAGAGATCACTCCATTAGTAAACATACTTAAGAACAGCTCAGATATTATGTAGGAGTGCTGTTTTTTCAACTATTTCAAAAAATGCTGAAATTTGAGTGTACCTGTTTTATTGTAACACAGTTATAAGTTTAAGCTTCAGATTATTATGGTTTTGTATCAAACATAATTTATTAAATTGTTTTTCTAGATTCACTATAAATGACAGAAACCTTGGTCGAATAGTAACTATTGCCCAAAACTTCAACACTGAGCTCCAGCTTTGGCAGGTATGATGACATCAATTCTCTTGAATTTAAGTCAATATATTTAACTATCTTCTGGACAAGAAACTTTTTTTTTGTCCTCTAAATGCTTAAAGCAGCAGGAGTAAACTGTAAAACTATTCCAGTGCTACTAGCATGAGCTTATAGATCTCTCCCAGTCAGAATTACCCCTGACTGTATCTTTATAAAAAGCCGCTTGCCCAATAGCAGCATTATTTACTTCACAATTCCTTTTCTCTTTTCCAGATGGAAAATTTCTTTGAAAAATACCCTAATGCTGGGGCAGGAGAAATGCCCAGGAGTCAGACACTAGAGCAAGTGAAGAGCAACATTGAATGGCTGAAAGAAAATAAGGAGGAAATACAATCATGGCTGAAAGGCACAGTAAGGCTTCAAAGTCTTACTTTGTGAAAAAGATCAGGCACTCAGATCTTCAAAGATGTTTAGCAATGTGGATTTCTCGCCCAGGTACCTTAGAGGACTAAGACTTAATATTTTTTTCTACAAACACTCAGGAGACCACTGCCAGAGCAATGTTGGTGTAGTTGCTTAGCAGGAATAGCTTCATATGTTGAGAGCTGAATTTGCCTGAACAGATTTAAAGTCATTTAAAGCAGAAGTGATGGCAGAACTTGTCCTTGCTGATCACTCTGGTCTCACTCTTTATGCACACCACTCTGAAAAACTACTTCTTGGTTTGCACAGAAGTATGTCTAGTATACTCAGGGATTCCTTTCCAAGTGCACCTCATAGGAGCTTTCTCCTGAAGGAAGGGGAATTAAGCAGTAGTTTTGACATTGTCTGAAAATCATCCCCTATATTCATAGCTGTAAAAATTCTATGTCTGGGATTTAGGTTTGCTTTCTGATACTACAGAAAGGCCAGTTAAGCTTTCCTCTCAACTGATTTTTGAAGTTTAACTATTAGTACACAAGGGATCAATATTATCAACTGCTTTTTCAATGTTATTAGTTGGGATTCTGTGGCTTAGGATAAGGGTTGTCTTGGTTGCTTTTGTCTTATTTCTAAATCTTTAAAAAAAAAAAAAAAAAAGATAACTTGTGGCAGCCAATACTGCAAACAAGACATGCTTTACTTACTGTTTGTTTTCTTATAGAAAAATAAAATTTAAAAATCTACATGAAGTCTCTTTCTAATGAAATTATGAAATATTATGGGTTATAGAAGAACAGCTGTTATATAGTTCAGCTGTGCTGTACATAATAGCTTCAGTGACTTCTGGGGGGGGGGACACAGAAAAAATGGGAAATGCACCCAGAGGGATCAGACGAATTGCACTGCTGCAGCTGAGTCTATTGCAGGACTACAGACAGCAAAGAAAGAATTCTCAGTCCCAAGTCCCTCTGCCCTTGTGATGCTGGAGAAAGCATCGGGGTACTCTGTCTTTCTCTCCCAAGCTGTAAGCTGGGGGGTTTTGGAATTCCCATATTTCCATGTGCTGTGTCCTGACACTGGACAAGCAGCAAATGTGAGCACCTCCTTGCCTTCTCCCTGTTCTCCTGAGCAGAGACCACAACCAGCTAGATCCAATGTCTGTCCAGATGTCCTGGGAGCAGGATCACAGAGCACCTCATAGTAGGTAGCCCAGGGAGATTTCATGCACAGCTGTCAGGAAACTCTGCAGTTGGATTAGAGGACAGAAGTATGGAAAAGCACTTTGCTTACCTTCATTCTGCAATGCTATTCAAAGGGAAGGGGAGGTGACTGTAAGGTACAGAAGTTTCGGTACAGGCTACGTGCTTGCCTCTGGGCCTTGGTACAGCACAGAGGATTCCAGAACAACTTATATAGTCCCAGATGGAAACACTTTACTCCACTTCCACACTTCACTCAAGGCTGGTACGGTTTTATGCCTCTCTCTAGACACCCAAATAGCTGCAACAAGCCCAGACAAATGTGGTGACAAAGTCAGTTGTCCTATTGAGCTGATTTTGGCTGGGATAGAGTTAATTTTCTTCACAGTAGTTGGTGTGTTTTTCATTTGTACTGGAAACAGCGTTGATAAAACAGAGATGTTTTCATTACTGCTGAGCAGTGCTTACAGTGTCAGGGCCTTTTCTGCCTTTCACACCACCCCACCAACAAGGAGACTGAATGTGCATGAAGTGGGAGGGGACACAGCTGAGACAGCTAATCCCAACTCACCCACAGGATATTCCATACCACAGCATATTCATGCTGAGGTATGGAATACAGAGATGGAGGGGAGAGCAAGGAAGGGACAGACATTCAGAGCGATGGCGTTTGTGCTTCCAGGTAGCCATTATGTGTGATGGAGTTCTGCTTTCATAGAGATGGCTGAAGACCTGCCAGCTCTTGGGAAGTGGTGAAGGAATTCCTTGCTTTGCTTTACTTGCATTCACAGCTTTTGCTTTAATTAGCTTTTTAATTATTAAACTATCTTCATCTCAACCCATGAGTTTTCTTGGTTTTACATGCTCAATTCTCTTCCCCATCCCACCAAGAAGGAGTGGGCGAGTGGCTGTGTGAGGCTGAGATGCCAGCTGGGGTTAAAACACAAGACCTGTCAAAGGAAAATGTCAGTCATTTGCCTCCTGCAAACAAAACACGGCAGGATTTTGACTAACAGTGGTTACAACTTGTTAGAGACACCAGCTGCTCTTCAAGGTGAGGAGGTGGCAAAGGGCCAGGCAATTTCTTCCAGTTTTTTCTTGTTGCTCAGATTCACACACAGAGAACAGTGAAAGTGAAGCAGCTGCACACACCCAAAACTACCAGCAGCAGACAGGGAGCAGACTGTCCTTGGGCAGCTGCCAGCTCAGTACAACATACAACAACTCACCTTCACTATTTTATGCTTTTGATGAACTGAAGGAGTGGAAGCCAAACGAAAACTCTGTTGGTTTCAAGGTCACAAACAGGTTTGGTAGCATCACACAGTAATGCCATAGGTGCATTGAATCACTGTGACTATCAACAGTACAATCGTCTCTGAAATTTTTTCTGTGTACAGTATGTTTTGATTGAAGGTTTCTAGTTTCAGCTGGCCATGATGTGGAGCATTGCAAAGCCAATATAAAGATATCCAAGCACACAGCTCAGTCATTTTCCCTTTCAGAGACGATTTAATGAAATTTTGGCAAAAAGAACTGATTTTATTATTCATACGTTTCTGCCACAAGCTGCTGTAGAAAGAGAAGTATGACTATTATGGGAGTGGTACAAGATTAAGAAGTTACTTTAAGATATTTTTATCCCTTGTTACATGTAGCCTCTGCTACCACCAAGTGGGACCAGGCTGGCCAACTTTGTCAGCTACAGTAGTAGGCTTTCATCAAGGAAAACATAGGAAGTAATGAAGATTTTCTGTGATGCTGGAAAGCTACAGCAAAAGCAGCCTTCATCCAAGTCACACAGTTTCAGACAAGACACATATTGTGCATATTGTGCATCAAGTAGTAGAAAGAACAAAAAATGTTAGAGAGAGAGAACAGAAACATATCACTGAAGCACAGAAAGAAAGAGAAGCCAAGGACAAGCCTGAACAACTACTGAGCTCATGGTCCTGGGTGAATGGAGAAGGAGATTTAAAATGTGAACCAAGCAATTGCCACCTGTCATTTGATTCTCATTCTGTTCAGGAAGCTGCAAGCAATAGTAACTTTTGTGCCTGAGACACACTGGATCACAGAGAGTTTTAACTAGTGCTTGAATACTTTTGATGTTACAGAAAGGTTAGCTGGATTTCTACACTGATCTTAAGCGGGTCACGGAACACAGAAGAAAGTCCAAAAGCCCCAGAAGGCAGATGTTTTTATGAAAGGGCAAAGTTTCTGTCAATTTTAAATAATGTTCTCTAGATTATGCAGGGTTCTTGCTACCTTTAAATGGCTCATGGAGAATGTACTGCATGGCATGTGCCTCTTTCAGACTGTTTGTCCGAGATGGATAACAAATCTGGTACATGCTAAATCTTTCAGTCAGGAACTGGTGCATTTATAAATGGTCTGTGATAAGCTTAAGAATGCCAATTTGAAACTGAATCCAAAGAAATGTGAACTGTTTTAAAAAGAGATAATTTTCCCTCGGTCATTCGATCAGCAAGGAAGGAATTTCTACTGATAAGGCCGAGTGAGGGAGTGCAGAACCAGCTGGCCCCTTAGATCCACACAGCTTTTTGAGACTCTGCTGTTCCTATTGTACCACACCAAAAGCCATTGCAGGCAGTGAGGCAGAGAAACGTCTTGAGTAATCGAAGTGCAATGTGGTGGAGTTAAAGAGGGGCCACTTACCACTTCTGCAGTGTTGCCTTACACCAGAGCTCTGCAAATCTGTCTCATATCAGCTACAGCTGTGCGTCCTATAGAGCCTGAGCCCATGGGCCCCAGGAGGCTGTAAGCCTGATAGGAGCATGAAAATGCTTTATCTTGATAATTCAGGTAAAGGAACAACTGAAGACATTGTATTACTGCACAGAGCAAAAAAATTAATAGTACCAATGGGAACACTGAGGCATCTACAACTCCCCAACTCAGCCAGTTTCTAAACCAGCAGTTAAGATCACTAGGAGTATGCAGACATAAAAAAAGACCCCCACCTTAAGCATATGGTATGTCTGTTGAAATAGAACGTGACTGGGAAGTATGCCTCCAGTCTTCCCACAATAACCAGTACCATTTCTTGGCATTTTGTGTGATGGCATCTTCCAGCAGCTTTTGGGACTCAAGGTGAGAGGGAAAAAGCCAGTCTGTGCTGGATGTGAAGGATAGGAACTTATCCTGTTGCAACAACTATACCATACTGCCAGATTAAAGCTTTGTCTTGGGTTATATGTATCCAGTTACGAAAATTAGTCAAACAAGCTTGAGTTTGCTTTCCCAAGTGTTTACACAGAATCCAGTATTCCATTAGAAGTCAGTTGTCCTGGAGGTATTTCGACTTCACATCAACACCTATGGCAGTTTAATGTATACCTGTATGTGGAAAACTGGTACAGAAAGATATGGGTATATGAGTCTAAGGAAATATTCTCTAGCTCACAGGGACTACAGTGGTTCACAAGGCTGCCCAGATACCTGAATTTTTCCAATATGTGCTTTGGAAAAAAAAAAGAAAAAAACCCTACAGATATAATTATAAAGCATCTGAAATATATATATATGGTTCAGGTAAATCTGAGAGTTTCTGGCTTCCCAGTGTACATTCCAAAGAGTCATGAGGAAAGAGCAAATCCTGAAAAATATGACCACAATATAGTGTGAAAGAAAATTACATGACTTCTGTTGCTGCAGCAATGTCTGTTGTGCTTTTAACACACCTAAAATCTAAAAAATACCATTAGTAAGTAGCACTCATTAGTTTCAGTAATCCATCACTTGCAGAAAACCTTTCCATATCAACCC